ATCCGTTGCATTGATTGGTTGATGCTGTCCCTGCAAAAGGGTATAAAAGGAATTGACGTCATTTTGTATTGTTCTGTTGGAGATTGAATAAAGGACTGTGTTACTCCTGCCTCGTCTCAATTCCTTCACAATGAACAAAACAGAATATTGGCGATGAAGGTGGGATCGTGCTACAAGGGAAATGATGAAAGAAGATAGGCTGACTCACCACGGAAGGCCTGAAGCTCTGGGAAGTTTGGCGTCCGAAGAGTGCGACTCTGCCTGCCAGTATGAGAATGCTGGAGGAGAGCTTGGAAAAAGGGACCCCTTCTCAAACCATTGCAGCACGAGGTATTGATGAGGCCGCCGGGAAGTAACGATGTCCAAGTTAGGCCGTTTGTCAGAATTCGACACAGCTCATCTGGAACGTTGGAGTTCTTACGTGGCCTGGGTAGAGAACTATTTTCAGGTAAACCAAGTTCAGGAGGACGGTCTTAAGGCTGCTATGCTACTGTGTGTCTGTGGGCAAGAGACTTTCGATATTGCTGAGAATCTGGTCACCCCAGCACCACTTGAATCCATCGCTTATACTGAGCTGAAGAGGATGTTGCGAGAACATTTTGAACCAAAGCTTTCGGTGATTGCATGGCGACACGCATTCGAGCAGAGGGACCAGCGTCTGGGAGAATCTGCTGCGGATTTTATTGCTGTGTTGCAACAAGCAGCTAGGCCATGCGAATTCAAAGACCTGGAAGAAAGACTTCATGATCATTTAGTCTGTGGACTGAGAAGTCGTGAGCTGCAACAGAAGATCTTTGTAAAGGAAGACGTTTCTTTCCAGGATGCTCTGAGAGAGATTATGGCCAACAAAGCAGCAGGCAGAACTATGAAGGCCTTGAGGCTCTCCAAGAACCCTACAACATCGAGCTCAGTCCATCAAGAGGTCACTCGAGAGGTATCCGAACAGGACAGAGAACGAGGTCGACCATTTACAGCAGCCAGCAGAGAGAAGGCCCCAAGAGCAAAACAACAAGGCAACTCTATTCCCTTGGTGTTTTGAATGTGGAGGACTACACAAGCGCTCTGATTGCCGCTTCTGTTCTGCTGTTTGCCGGGTGTGTGGCCGGCAAGGCCACATTTCCACCGTCTGTTTGGGTCGCAAGGAGGATCGTCCTGCGGAAGAATTGCCTCGGAAAGGTACCAGGGTCCCCAGCCAGAATAGGATGGGTTTTTGTGCCTCCTGTAGAAGCATTTTTAAAACTGGGGCCCATAGGTCGCTAAGAAAGAAGGGTTGTTAGATATAGTTGTGGTCGGGGGTGACCGCACGAGTCTCATTGGACTCGATTGGTTCAAGGCCCTTGGGATTCAAGTGACCGGACTTTACAACTTGCAAACGACAGGCCTTGTGGCAGTTTGCAAGGAGTTTGCTGATGTGTTCAGTCCAGAACTTAGATAGTACAAGGGGCCTTCCATTGCTTTACAGTTAAACCCATCCGTCGCCCCCACTAGGATTAAGCCCCATCGGGTGCCCTTCGCGTTGAAGAACAAAATTAACGCAGAGCTGGACAAACTGATTCAGCAGGGTATTCTAGAACCTGTGGACAGTAGTCCATGGGAAACTCCCATAGTCACGCCACTGAAAGCCAATGGAGAAGTCTGCATTTGTGCGGACTATAAATATACACTTAACAAAGCATTGCAGCAGCATTCGTACCCAGTGCCGATGGTAAGCCACATTCTGGCCTTCCTCAAAGGAGGACAAGTTTTCACCAAACTTAACTTGGCTCAGGCCTATCAACAATTACCAGTTGATGAGGCAACAGCAGAGGCCCAAACAATTGTAACACACCGGGGAGCGTTTAAAGTTAAAAGGCTGCAGTTCGGGGCTAATGTAACCCCTGGCATTTTCCAAAGCATGATGGAGCGAATGCTCCACAATATTCCAGGAGTTTGCCCTTACTTCGATGATGTCCTCATCGCTGGGGAATCATCCAAAAATCTGGCTGACAGGCTTAGGGCCGTCTTGCTGCATTTCCGCCAAGCAGGGCTGAAGCTCAAGCAAGACAAATGTAAAATTGGAGTCACCTCCACAGAGTTTCTGGGGTTCCGTATTGATGCTGAAGGCATCCATCCTCCTGAATCCAAGCTCAAAGCTATTCAGCAGGCCCCAAGTCCCAAGTCAAAGAGCGAATGTCAAGCTTTTCTGGGACTGTTAAACTTTTACTATTCATTCCTCCCTCACAAGGCTGCAGTGGCTGAGCCGTTACACCAGCTCTTGGATAAACAGGCTCCATGGCAGTGGACAAAAATCCACGAAAGGAGTTTTGCAGAGGTCAAGGCCTTGCAGTCTTCAAATGCGGTTTTAGTGCATTTCAATGAGCAACTACCTGTGTGCATAGCCTGTGATGCATCTCCTTATGGGATTGGGGCTGTGTTAAGTCACTTAAAGGCTGATGGGACACAAGTCCCTGTAGCTTACTATTCTAGGACACTATCATCTGCCAAGCGTAATTATGCACAGATAGATAGAGAAGCCTTGGCCATAGTGGCTGGCATAAAAAAGTTCCATGACTTTTTATATGGTCACCATTTCACAGTCTTTACAACCAACAAGCAAACCCCACACATAATTTCTCCTAGAATGCTGAGATGGTCAATTTTCCTTTCTGCATATGACTACACATTGGTTCACAAGCTGGGCAACGAAATGGGCCATGCAGATGGCCTCAGCAGATCACCTCTACAGTTAGTAGAGTCATATCTTACTCCAGCTAACCACATACTTTCTATTCAGGATTTGCCTGAGTCTTGCCTCAATGCTAGAGATATGGCTGCAGAAACAGCCACTGCTCACATGTTAACACATGTGTTGACATGGGTGCTGTCAGGATGGCCTGACACATGTCCAGGCTCAGAGTTCCAGAGTTTCTGGAAGAGGAAGCACGAGCTATCCACCTTCAAGGGGTGTGTCCTATGAGGTAGCAGGGTAGTGATCCCAGTCTCTGCATGAGGGACATCCGGGAATAGTCCGGATGAAGGCGCTTGCATGCAGCCATCTTTGGTGGCCTGGGCGTGATAAGGAGATCGAGGCCCAGGTCCATGGGTGCAGTGTTTGCCAACAGTCTAGGCCTGAAATGCTTCAGGTTCCTATACATAGGTGGGAGGAGACACATACCCCTTGGTCGAGGGTCCATATCGACTACGCTGGCCCCTTTCAGGGGCAATTCTTCCTTCTCCTCGTGGACAGCCATTCCAAGTGGCTAGAGGTCATTCCAGTCTTCTCCACGACTGCTGCCAGGACCATCCAGGTGTTGAGAGGGATCTTTGCCTCTCATGGGCTTCCAGGTGTCCTTGTCTCTGACAACGGACCCCAATTCACTTCTTCTGAGTTTCAGGCTTTTCTACAGGCCAACATGATCCGTCATGCCATATCAGCACCGTTTCATCCAGCTTCTAACGGTCAAGCTGAGTGTATGGTGCGCACAACCAAGGATGCTTTAAAGAGGATCACTCATGGAAGCTGGCATTACAGGTTAGCTGACTTTCTTCTTTGCCACCACACCACACCTTGCACAGCCACAGGAAAGAGCCCAGCTAAACTCTGCTGGGGTTGCCGACTCATTACAAAACTGGACAGGTTGCACCCAGACTGAATGGCTTCACAGATTCACAGCCGAGGGCACCTAGGAGACTACAGGTGGGCGATCTGGTTTGGGCAAGGAATTATGGACCTGGTCATCTCTGGGTGACAGCAGTGGTCTGCAAAGTAACTGGGCCACTGTCATACGAAGTGGCCTTGGATGATGGTCGTGTGTTACGTAGACACATCGACCAACCGCACTGGAGACTTCACAGCCACACTTCCACTCCTGACTCTGCTCTTGGGGGGGGGAGGAGGACCATGATTATGATCGTGGACTGCAGTCTCTCTGCGAAAGTGGAACTTCACATGCACCAGTAGGGGGGTTTGCCAACAAGGCGGCTCTTGACTCTGGCATCGGGTCCATGGGACATTGCTCGCAACTGGCTGTTCTGGCCACTCCATCTGCTGGTCTTGGGCTCACGGGACAGTGCTTCCAAGAGGGGTCCATTGTGGACTTGGGGAATTCCACCCACCAAGGAACTCTGCTCTGGGTTTACAGGATCCGGCCAGTCAGCATGATAGACGGCCACCTGAATATAGGGGGCATCAAAGTCCTGGTCTGCTGAGCTTAGCAGGCGAGCTTGCAGACCAGGCAAGCACACCTGTTCTAAGAAGATCAGAGTGGGCCAGAGGTCCACCCAAGCACTTACAGGGCTACATAAGGTTCCTATCAGTAGTTGGGCAGGCTTAAGTTTACTTAGAAATCAGAACACGCTCAAAAGAATAAGTGTTAGATCTGAAGTATTTTAAAATACTAAGTGCTATTGTTTTTGATCTAAGAGGGGAGGGGTGTTATGTCCTGAACCTGCTGAGTGACTCAGCAGGTGCAGGAAGCTTCAGAGAGGCCCAGGCAGACTATGTGGATGCCTGGGACCAGACAGGCTATCTCCAGCCTATTGCGCATGTGCAAGGCAGGAGAATCCGTTACATTGATTGGTTGATGCTGTCCCTGCAAAAGGGTATAAAAGGAATTGACGCCATTTTGTATTGTTCTGTTGGAGATTGAATAAAGAAGGACTGTGTTACTCCTGCTTTGTCTCAATGCCTTCACAACAAACAAAACAGAACACTATTGATCCCAGGAGTTTCAGGTGCCTCCTGCATTCTAGTGTTTGATTAGGTACTGAATACAACTAAATCCTGCTGGATTTTCTACTTTGGAAGATTGTTTTGTGATGCACAACTTGGAAGAGGCCTTTTTTCCCTCTTTAATATAAGGGAATGTGCTTTTGGAACAGTTTTTCGGGTCTGAGACCAAGGAAAACCTAAGGTTGCAGGCAAATACCAGTCTTTCAAAAACTAAGGTTGGAGGCTCCCTTTCTTTTATGCTTTTTTTCAAACATAAACTGCTCTGGGCATTTCAGCAGAAGCCATAAATAACTAAATGGACCCATAATGGAGGTGTGGATGGGGGACTCAAAGGTTTGGGGGAGAGGATGAGTTTGTCTGCGGGAGTTTATGATTAGCCTTGGAATTCTGCCACCTCTGCGTCCACCTGGGCAGAGCATATCAAAGCCCTTAAATATTGGGCAACACACGCTTTCATGTGAACTTTGTGCTCCCTGATTATGGTGACTCCATCCTGTTAACACAGCAGTGTTTAAAGTCCACTGCAAAAGCACACTCAAAATATCTTCAGTCTTGTTATCACGATCCCACTGGCACCGCTTCTGTTCTTGGAGATTTCCTGGGCCCAATTTTGTTTTGTCCAACTTCAGCATGAAGTTGTTCATCAGGGCACTGATTCTGTGCTTGTCTCTGAGTCAAGGGAAATGCACTGAAGAAACCATGCAGGATAATGTCATCCCTCCTTCTCCATTGCCAGAGGAAAACTCCTATTCTGACTGGGGAATTGGGACCATCCGGGATGGCATTGATGCTGTTAATGGCTATTTTGACTTTGTCTCAGAGCTGTTAGGAGGAAAGAATGGAGTCTGTCAATACAGGTGCAGATATGGTAAGCATTTCGGCTGCTACTTCTTTCATATCCAGTCCCTGACACATTGTTATTTTGTGTTGACAGTTGTTGTTTCCCTACACAAGGCAATGTTTCCTTGTTTTGTTTGACTAGATGCTTTAATGATAAGTAATTGACCAAGACACTGTATTCTTACTGTCATGTTTTACTTCACTGAACCGCTGCCCTTTTATGATGCAGATTAGTATATTTGAACTCAACACTGCCTCTATTATCAACATGATTACATATTTCATCTACACAAAGGGATGTATCCTTTAAATATCATGTTTGTAGTTCCATTTATTCTAGCAAAACAACTAATAATAAGCTGTCAGCATTACTCTTTGGTTACAAAAACTGAGATGGCAATCATTTTTCTAACAAGTTGTCTTCTTTTCTAACAAGTTAGAACTTTCACCTGTTAGAAGGTGACAGTTCTCTTTGCAGTATGTTTCTATAACTAAAATGTGGTATATTGGCTGCACTCTCTCCAAATGATTGTTTATTTTGCCTTACTAATTGAATTGTTCTACTTCCCACACATTTTAAGAAGCCAGATTTGTCAAAATGCCAACTTACTTTCTGTACTAGGTGAACTTTTGAATGCCTTCTAGTTTTGTAGGATCACTGTACATCCCTCATCCTCAATCTGTAACAGTGGGGGAAATGGAGTATTGTTTACAGAGCTGAAGGATACAAGGTTGAGAAAGAGTAATTAGAGTATGCGCTTATGGAATTTAGTTTTCAAACACTGGACTAGAACAGTATGGATACGCATAGACTATATGTAATTCTCCTTTCTTCTTGCATAGACCCATAATCCCTGTCTTTTTTTTTTTTTTTTACATCTCACATCATCTAAGAAATGGGTAACACACCACTGTTTTCTAACTGCAAACAGCAATGAAAAACAGTGACAATAATTAGGATGGCAAAGGTGAGTGAATGAGAGAGTGGATGTATTATATAAATATATGTGTGGGCATGCATTCACACTTGTTATGGCCCTATCCATCAGTCCTGCTCATTTATGCATTCCACGAATGGTTTCTTAGTATAAAATCATATTATGTTCCCCTTCCATCCAAAAACCTAGAAGGATGTCTATCATAGGTTGAGGAAAATCACTTGCCCTGACTAGCCATATAGATTCAGGGCCCAAATAACTTCTGGAATGGGAAATTTTTGCATGTGGTGCTGTCAAGACTGATTTCTTCTTTTAGAATGCAGAGATGCATTCCATTCTTCTCCTTGGACAAAAACTAAAAATGATTTTTAGGATCAGTGAAATTAACACACACACAGGTCCTTGTGATACATACATAGTCCCTTGTGGCTGTGAAACAGTGAAAGAGAAAAGCACGGATAATCTTGTGTATGAAAAGTATTATATTCTTGTTATTTGTTCTGGTTTGCTTGATAATGGATATTGTTTTAATTATACTTTCTATACTCCATTAGCCTCTGAAATTGGTACTAATGAATTCCCCAGCCACTGTTAATCAACTCTTTACCTTCTTTTTTTTCCCTATTCATATTGTTGATAATTTACTCTGACTTCCTTCTCTTACTTTAAGGTTTAAAAAGGGAGACATTTGATTCGTACTTAGACGTTCCAAGGTATATAGAAGATTCAGTGCCAGTTCCTATATCATCATAATAAAAAAGCATGTTATTCTAATATCCTCATTAAAGAGCTGAGATTGCTTATAGTGATTTATATTTTAATTGCCTCATTTACATGATGGCAATATGCTCTATATACCACTCTCCTTGAAAAGTGTCTGAGAAACTATAGATGGTTCAAACTATAGTATTTTGGCTTTGATCAGAAGAGTCTTTTGAAGATCATGCTGGAACAATTTTACCAGCTTCCAGTTATTTTTTGACATAAATCAAAGTGTCCCTCTTTTTAATCTAGAAAAATCCGTGGAGTCAGCTCTAGGATAGTTGAAGGATCATTTCCTTTCTTATTAAATTACATTACCCATAATCTATTATAATTATCATCAGCCTTGTTCTAAGTCCATGTCTTTGGCAGGATATACTGTACATTGGAATCCCTTTTGAGGTGCTATTTCTCTGAAATGCAACTGCTAATCAGCAGGCATCTATATTGAACCATTTAGCACAACATCCACCATGCTTAAAACATAAGCACAAGACACGTGGAACTATAAAGCCTTTTACTTCGTCTTTTACAGCCTATAGTTCTGCTGTTGTGTTTGTTTGAAAAATCTGTTAAATCACTTCAAATGTGCCAATCTGTTTATAGAAACAGTCTTAACATTAAATGGTTAGGTTTAAATTTTAACTGAATGTTTGTGCATATATATCTGTGTTCCTGTTTCTTTGAATAGCTCAAAATACTGTTTCTCAACCTGGCAACTTTAAGATGTGTGGACTTCAACTCCCAGAATTCCACATAGTCATCCTTCTCAGCCTCATGACTCTGGGTGGTAAACTGCAGTTAAAAATATAAAATAGTAGCAATAGCAATAGTGGTTTACAGAGTGGTTTACAGAGTCAGCATATTTTTCCCCAACAATCTGGGTCCTCATTTTACCGATCTCGGAAGGATGGAAGGCTGAGTCAATCTTGAGAGAATCGAATTGCTGGCAGTTGGCAGAATTAGCCTGTGATTCTGCATTCTAACCACTGCACCACCATGGCTCTTAATTGATATTAGTAATAATATCACACTGAATGCAAATTGGCATCTGAGGCAAAAAACATCGCAAGTATGAGCATCCCATCCCACCCGCATGCATTATGGCATAATCAGATCTTCAGAGGCCAGCAGGCTTGGGGTTAATCTTCTCTCTGGGGAGAGCGGATGTGTAATAGAATGTGTAGATGACCTTGGGAAAGGAGGGGAAGACCACCTTAATCAATCAGATAGTTAGAAGTGGAAGTGGGAAGTCTGTATTTTCACTTTTGCAAGATTTATTGATGTATTCTTGTCACGAGCATCATTATTTAAATTGTATGCAATTGTATGCATGAATACAAACATAAGAATATAACATTTAAAATGTAAAAAAGCCTGATTTAGGCAGCGCTTGCCCAGAAGTATGCAAAATCGATAGCATTCTGTTGCACTGTCATAAGAGTACATTGGGCAAGAGCACAAGGGGCAAGTGTACATGTGTGTAGTTGTCTGTAGATCTCCAACTCGCAGTAGGCAGAAGTCACTAAATATCCCCATTTATTCAACTATCTCTTTCTGTACCTGTGCGCGATGTCAGAATCCAATTATATTTCATCTTTAATTATCAAATATAGAAACTCCCAATTCTGCCTTCTCTGGATTCTGCCATAAGAGGGAGAGAAGGGGGAGAACAAAGGGGCTTTATGGCCCTCACTTCCTTCAGTATACTTCTAAGGAGCTGAATGCTGAATGTGTGTTTATTGTAACCTCAAAGCGTTAGCAACAAAGAACCTTACCATAACAAAGAAGGTTATTTGCCTTTCATGTAGTTTATCTGAAGTCTCCATCCAGACGGAAGAAAGAAAAAAGGGGGTGGAATTGTGATACCTGAAACTATCACTGGAAGGGGGGTTGATTGGGTGGGACTACTGGGGAACCCTTAAAACCTTGAATGGGAGGGCTTGGACCCCAAGTCCTGTCTAGCACGCCTGCAACCACTTCTTCTTAATAAAGGATTCCTGTTGGAAGAATTATTCCAAGAGTTCTGTCTTCTCAAGATGCAAAGTGGGGTGGGTCCTTACATTAGACAGGACTTGCAAAATTAATCCACCTGGAAGGGAGACCCTTGCCGGGGGATTTTGCAGAAATTTTACCATGTCAGACAATGGAGCAAGAGAGGGGGAAAACTCCCTGGAAAGAGAGCCGCTGACCAAATTGGAACCTTGTCAGATGTTGGGATCCGAGAGGTCAGATTCCTCAGGAGAAGAAGTGGTGGAGACATGGGACCACAAGCCTCACTGGTCAATGGGCGTTGGAAAGAAAAGTGAGTGGAGAAAGGAATCAAGAAAGGTGACCCTGAGACGGGGGACCAAGCAACCAGAATGGAAGCAGGAGATGGAGAAATCCCTGCACACAAGTGAAGAGGGAGAAAGCTGGGCACCGTACTCAGACTGGATCCTAGAGAAAGCTATCGACCTGATGAAGAGAACTCTCAGCTCCCTAGGAGAGGAGAATCCTGAGCCCTACGGCCGCCCCAGCTCCTGGAGCCGCAAAGGGAGAGTCACCGAGGGGGACGTGGAACCTGCAACCCCGGGGACATCTACTGATCCAGTAGCCCCCACCCCCTACCGGACCACAGATGGCAATCTGGACGGAAGACACTACCACCAACAACGGAGGCACCGATCCATTCCAAGACGTCCACCGTTGGAGGTGAAATTCAAAGGGGAGCCAACATGCTTGGGGTTTTTCCTAACCCAAGTCCTCAGCTACATGGAGGAATACGGGCAGGACATTCCCAGCGACAAAGCCCGCATCCGGATCATGCAATCTGCCCTGGATGGACTGGCTGTAGATTGGGTGGTGAACTTGCATGACTCCAATGCCCCAGAACTCAGTAACTTCAACCGTTTCATGTCCTCTTTGAGAAGACGATTTGAAGACCCCCTGGCTGATCGCAAAGCCCGTGAAAGGATAAAAACGATGAGGCAAGGCAAACACCCGGTGGCTGAATATACACAAGAATTCCGGGCCATTGCCAGCAAACTGAATTGGCCAGAAGACATCCTCCTTAGCCATTTCAAAGACGGACTCAACTATGATCTATATGACGCTTGCCTGCCCCGAGGGGACCCACACCGACTTGAGGAATGGTACGTCTTGGCAGAGGAAGCAGAGATCGACATATTGAAGAGGCACCGCCAAGGAAAACAATGGAGCCGCCCCCCGCCTGAGCTGACGCACGAACCGGTGAAATCATCGGCTACAGCCAAGAAGCAAATGGGGTGTTTCAAGTGCGGAAGAGAAGGGCATCGAGCTGTAGAATGCCGTTCAAAGGTCCCCGAGC